AAAAGACCATTGTCACCAGTAATATAACATTTCTTCACAGCATGCAGAGCAATGGGAACTGGGATGATGCTGAGTTCCTGGGCCACCTCAACAGTAGAGGAAGTGATGTCAGCAATGACTACCTCACTGGGCAGCGGTGGTGTCCTCTGGCTGCAGCTCTACATCTATAAAGACAGAGAGCTCACGCTGTCGTTGGTGCGCCGGGCCGAGAAGGCGGGCTATAAAGCCATCTTTGTTACCGTGGATACACCATACCTAGGGAAGAGATTGGATGATGTGCGCAACCGCTTTAAGATGCCCCCACACCTGAGGTAGGGAAACAAAACAGTACAGGCTGTGTAATTACACCACGTTGTAGCATCCAACTCTGAACTCTTCTCTCTGTGTGATTCCAGTATGGCGAACTTCTCAACAGCCTCCCTGGCTTTCTCTGAGGGAGACTACGGCAATGACAGCGGCCTGGCTGTTTATGTTGCAAACGCCATAGACCCCTCTATCTGTTGGGATGACATCACGTGGCTGAAAAAACACACACGCCTCCCTGTGATTGTGAAAGGAGTATTAAATGGTAGATGGACACACACACACACACACACATACAGTTACAGATCGGAGTGAGGAAAGAGAACAACAACAGTGTTGGAGGCTTGGTATTGGTGTTCCAGTCACTTCCATGGCCACGTGGAATCAGGTACCTGCTTCTACAAACATTTGTGAAAGAATGGGTCACTCTCAGCTCAGTTTCCATGGCCAAGCAGCTGCATCTAAGTCTTACATGAGCAAGTGCAAAGTGCAGTGTTGTGGAGCACTCCGCCACTAGACTGTCGAACAGTGCAGACACGTCCTCTGAAGCGACGCGTCATGCTTGTCCGTCTGGCAATTCCACGAAGTCTGGATGTGGTCAGGAGACTTGTCTGACTACACTGTGCCGACGTTCAGGAGCTGGCTCAGCCCTTTAGTTACAGTGAAAGAAACTCATGCTTCAGTATACCTAGAACATACCAAGAACTATGTGGGAACAGTTTGGGGATGGCCTCTTTGCAAAAGATCTGACTCCTACAGCTTATTCAGATGCTGGAGCTGAATCAACTAGGTTCAAAAATGTTGAGAACATTGGTAAATGGCCTGTATTTATATAGCGCTTTTACTAGTCCCTAAGGACCCCAAAGTGCTTTAAACATCCAGTCATCCACACATTCACACACTGGTGATGGCAGCTACATTGTAGCCACAGCC